GCCCCCGGGCGCTCCCTCCGCCCCGGGGGGCCGCGCGCCGGGGCCGGTCCCGCCGGGCGCTGGGCGGGCGGGATGCGGGTGAGGCCGACCCTGCCCCGGGGCCCGGTCCTGAGTCCTCTTCTTTCAGGGCCGCGTCTGAGTCTGGTGCTTCCTTGGGACGGACTGACCGACGGCTTCTGCCTTCACTTTTCTTTGAGGACCTCCGCGGCCAGAGTAGCGGCTGCCTTTGGACCGGTGTCTTCTGAGAAAAGCGATTGCACCGGCCGCGTCCTCCCTGCACCGGGCACGTCCGGTCCTCGACTAGCTCCTTTGTTAAGAATGCTGCTTCCAACCTCTTTTGATACCATTTTATGAAATAGAGATGTAGTCCCGCTTCCCCGCCACCTTCAGTAAGTGGTTTAGCCGGTAAGAAAGTACCTGGAAAGGGAAAGCCGCAAGACAACCTGAACGTCTTCAGCCTTTCGTGCCGCTGGAAACAGGCCTTCAGCGTGGAGGCCTTTTTGAACAGTCTCTTGTGCATGATTGTTTGATACATGCCGATTGTTCTTTAACGTTTGTTTTCATGTCCTGTTAATGGACCAGAAAGAGATATCTTTCTTTTTTTTTTTTTAAATGGTTCTCATAGGTAAGTGGTGTGATAGTTAAGGTGCTGGATCCCACATGGCCACCTGCAGTTTGATTCTTGGTCTGGGGCTTGAAAACCGTACTGGGGGTGTATGCCTGTTTGCCGGAAATCCTGAGAAGAGACTGGAAAAGAGACTGAGGCATGACCCTCCTCCCTGCAGGGGCGGGGGAGGGGGGTGTGATTTCTTGCTGTCCCTCTCCCTGACTCCAGTGAGTGTACACGCCCTGTGGAAAAAACCTTTTTTTTAGAAAGGTGAGTGGTAGGACCAATAGATGGTGTAATGGCTATGTCGCTGGACGCCCATGTAGTTGACCGCAGCTGGAGTCCCAGACCCTGTGGCTTAAACTCACACCAGGCATGTGTGCCTGCGTGCCTAGGATCCTGAAAGGAGAATGGAGAAAAGGGATTGCAGCGTGGCCATCCCCCCTAGGGCATGATTTCTCACTTTCTGTTATCTCTGTCTCTGTCTTTCTGGTGAGCCCACATACGCTATAGTAAAAACCTCTCCAAAGAAAAATGGGGAGTGGGTTCATATGAAATGTTATTATTTCACCATTGTTTGTAGGGGCATTTCAGTCTCAGGATTTCAAGGGAAACACAAATTAATGGCAGCAAGCATTCTGGAAGTGGCTATTAAATGTATGATTCCCACCCTTGGGTGGGGGACCAGCAGTTGGTGTAATGACTATGTCGCTGGATTCCCATGTAGTCAACCGCGGTTCGAGTCCTGGACCTGGTGGTTTAAACTCACTGGGCGCATGTATGTAAGTGCCCGAGATCCTGAGAGGAGAGTGGAGGAGAAGGGATTGTGGTGTGGCCATCCCCCAGGGTGGTTATTTCTTACTTTATGTCTTTCTAGCGAGTACACACTCCCTATAGCAGAAACTTCTCCAAAAACAAAAAAGAGAGAGAACATCTTAGGGACCAGCTGGATTCCCACATGGCCAACCATGGTTTGAGTCCCAGACAGGACGTTTGGAACTCAATGCTGGGTGCCTGTGCATGCATGCTCAAAATCTTGAGAATAGAGAAGGGATTGTGACTTGGCCACCACCCCCCACCCCCCCGGGGGGAGTTGTTCCTCGGTTTGTTTCTGTCTCTCCTGAGTGTGTACACACCCTATAGCAAAAATCTTTTTTTTTTTTTTAAATCCCAGTTTGACCAGAACAGAGGGCCTCTCTTGGGAGATAAGATTGAGGAGCCAAGTAATAAAAGAACTCAGTTGTGTGTCCATGGTGCCAGGCGCTCTGTGGGCCCTTCATAAATATTGAACAGATACCAGGAGAAGGAATTAAACTTTGACTATTAAGGCCACACTGATAGTCTGAAGCAGAATTTGTTACTTGGTAAAGCCTTCTACCAGGTGCTGATACAAATATGGCCTTTTGTTTCCAGGGGTTTTTATCATACACAAAGTTGCCTATATTGAGTATAAATTGAGGAAACTCAGTTCTGGTGTAGCTGAAATTTGAGCCCAGTGGTTCTTAAGTTTGAGTCCTTGGACTGGCTGTAGAAAGCTTTACAAACCCCTTGAAATTTCACATATTAAATTGTTTGTACTCTGAATGAATGTGAACTTGTTTTCTGGTGAGAGGAACCTTAACTTCTACTGGATTTTCAAAGGGTCCTACCCTCTCCCCCCAAAAAAAGGGAAGGGAGAATCAGGAGTTTTATAACCCACTGAAATACATTTCACATCATGACCCAGCACATTCACACGCATATTATATTGAAATGAAGTCTTCAGACTATTTTTACTTCATTAAGCCTGATTCTGTTCTACTTCCATTTTTTAAACAATTTTGGTCATGACCTAAATTAATTTACCCACCCCTTGTTGGCTTAAACATGAAGTTTACAGAATACTGCTTTGGGGCCAACCATGCGGAGCATTGTTAATACAGTGCTCCGTGGTGCTGAAGACATATGGGCAGGCCAGTACTTGTGCATAGTGGTGACACATGTGTGTGCAGATGATCCTTGCTGGCCAAGGCTGGGGATGGGGTCACAGCATGAAGACCATGTTAAGAGTGCCCACTCCCCGCTGGAAGAAATAAATAAACTCTAAAAAATTGGGACCAACCCGTGACACAGCACTAATGCAACACTATTGATGCTGGACCCACATTGAATTCAGTTCGCAACCTGAGGCCTGGTGGATAGGGCTACTCAGGCTTACTTACGTGTGATTCAGGCAGGCTCACAATGAGAAAATTCTGATTCCTCCCTAACCACCACCTCCCTCTCCTGTCATGTAAAAAATAAACATAAGTATACATATATGCATATATTGCTCTAGATAACAACACCCTAAATTGAGTGTGACCAAATGGGAAAGAATAAGAGGGAATAAGATAATTAGGATCTGGGGAGGGAGGGACCTGGACCTGTAGTTGGTGTAGTGGCTATGTCACTGGATTCCCATGTAGTTAACCATGATTTGAGTCCCGAACCCGGTGGCTTAAGCTCATGCCGGTGCGTGTGCATGTGTGTCCAAGATCCTGAGAGGAGAAGGGATTGCGGTGTGGCTGTCCCCCCTGGAGGGTGATTTCTCTTTTTCTGTCTCTTTCTGGGGAGCACACACATCCTATAGCAGAAACCTCTCCAAAAAAAAAAAAAGAATTAGGGTGGGGGAAGTGCTTTTTTGTTTGTTTGTTTTTAAAGATTTTGACAGGGCATGCGCACTTGCCAGAGACACAGAGACATAGAAAGGCAGAAAGCATCTCGGGGCTGTGGCCATGCTGCAGTCCCTTCTCCATTCTCTCAGGACTTGGGACATTCATGGACACTTGTCCAGTGTGTTTTTGAAGCTGCCAGAGAGAGGAGAAAGGATTGTGGAGTGGCCACCCCCCCCCTCCCTTTCTGTCTCTCTGTCTCTCTGTCTGTCTCTGTCTTTCTGGCGAGCGCACATGTCCTGTAGCAAAAACCTCTCCAAGAAAAAAAAAAAAAAGAAGTGGTCAGGAAGGGAGAAAAGTTTATGTTTCAATAAAAAAAAAAACATTTTAATAAATTGCTAAGTCTATTAACAGCTGAAAAGAAAACAAAATCTTTAAATCTGGAAAACAAAGCATAGAAGAAAATCAGTAATCTTTTAGTCAAGAGTCATAAAATTCTCTTTCACCAGTTCAGTCTCATGTAATTAATCTCTCTTTTGTTGAATTTGCAGTCTTGCTGTGGTCTGCTCTTTCTGTTTAAATCTTGGAAGTTAACATTTAATGTTGATATTTGATATTTCTGGACTTGTACCTACCATTAAGTTGATGATTTTCTCGCTTGCTTTTTGTTCTCTTATTTCTCTGTCTTTAGTTTTCTTGGGATAGCACTCCCTTCAGAACTTGAGGAGCTGGTCTGGTATTGATAAATTCTTTCAGGTTTTGTTTATCTGAGAATGTTTTTATCTTTTCTTCCTATATGGAGGATCATCTTGCTGGGTATCTGGTATTCCTGGTTGAAATTGTTTCTCATTTAACACTTTGAATATAGTTTCCCATTCTTTCATTGCTCATATTGTTTCCAATTAGAGGTCTAATGTTAGCATGATGGGATAATCTTTGTAAGTAACCTGGTGTTTTTCTCTCTTGCCAATTTTAGTATCTTGTCTTTGTCTGTGGTTTTGGCCCATCTGGCTATGATGTGCCTTGGAAAAGATCTTCTTGGGGTGATTCTGTTAGGGGCCCTTTGTATTTCTTGGGTCTGGATATTTGAATGCCTCTCTAGGTCTGGGAATTTTTCTTCCAGGATTTCATGGGATAGATCATTAGTTTCTTCACCTTACGGGATACCGATTATCCAGATATTTGAGCGCTTAATGGTATCTATTAAGTTATCTAAAAAGTTATTTTCTCAGTCATTTTGGTGTTTTTTTTCCAGGTCAGAGATTTTGTATTCAACATCTAAGATTCAATCTTCTGCATGGTCTAATCTTTTAATGCTTTTGAGGGAGATTTTGATTTCCTGTATTATAGCCTTTATCTGTAACAGCTCCATTTGATTCTTTTTTATGGTGTGTATTTCTTTTTATCAAGTCAATGAGCATGAACATTATAAATTTCTTGATGCACCTTGGCAACTCACTTTCTAAAAAAGTTTTAACAGTTTAGCCTTCTACCGATACCCTCTAAAGAATGCCCATTTGGCATCATCTTCAGAGTTAAATTTACTCTTGGAAAACACATGCACATAGTGTCTAAAGTTTCTCTGTTTCTTTTTTTAAACTTTATTTCTTTAATGAAAAAGAAATAAGCACCCTCAACTAGGTCTAACGTCATGATCCGTATCTCCACCTCAAGCCCTCCCTGACAGGTAGGATCACAGGCGTGTGTGCATGCACCCAGCACGGACAGGTTGATGTGGGAACCAAATCCTGATCTTCCACATGGCCTCCAGTATTGCACTACTGCTGCACCACCGTAGCTAGACTTTGGAAAACATTGATTTAATTAATTTTGTGGCATTCGTAGCAGAGGGAGAAGCCATTAGTAAAGACAGAAATATGAGACAATATGTTCAATTCAAGGAATTACAAATAATGTATATGCCTATACTGTCACATTTAACAAAAGACATCTTAAATAGTAACAGGGAAAGGTTTTTTATGGTTAAATTGTTGTGTTGGACTTTGTGTTGGACTTAGGTCAAGAAACTTTGAGACTATATTGGTTATAGTAAGGCAATCTTTGTGAACACAAGTCACCCATGTTGACATCAAGAAAGGGACAAACTTCAGTGTCAGTCCTTAGTAAGCAGTTGTGTTAGGACTAAGTTACTCAAAGACAAAGTAAGGTCATTAAAGACTGGTTTTACTGGTTTACACAAGTCAAAGGACAAGTTTTTACATGAAGGTATGAGTGTGACTTAGAGTTGTGTGGAAGAAAATAAGCAGTTTTGGGACCAGCAGTTAGTCTAAGGGCTATGTCGCTGGGCTCTCACGTAGTCGACCGCTGTTTGCGTCCCAGACCCCATGACTTAAAACTCATGCCAGGCTTGTGTGCGTGCCTGCCCAAGATCCTGAGAGGAGAATGGAGAAGAAGGGATTGAAGTGCGGCCATCCCTCCCTGGGGGTGATTTCTCACTTTCTATCTCTTCGTCTCTTTTCTTTTTCTGGGGAGCGCATGTGCCCTATAGCAAAAACCTCTCCAAACAATAAACAAACAAGCAAGCAAGCAAACAAGCAGTTTTGTTCAGAGAGAGAATATTCAGTGTCCGAGAGATGTGTATGTTATTCATAGAGCTAGCATACATGTTTATGCAAGATATATAGTGTCATGTTCATTTGCATATTTTCAATTACTTTGTTGTCTTTAAGACTAATGATTCTTTTTTTAAAAATTTTGTCAGAGGGAATATCTGCTCACCAGTTAGAGAGAAAATGAGAAAGCATCCCCTCATGGGGTAGGTCATGCCATAATCCTTTCTCCTCTATCTCGCACTCCTCTTATTCCTTGGGACCCACAAGCACCTGGCATATTTCTCAAGCCACCAGGTCTAGGACTCAAACTGTATACTTGACCATGTGGGATCCAACTACCTTAAGTGCCATACCATAGTCAGGCCCAACTAATGATTTCTTTTAAATTGGATTTTCTTTAGAAAATATTCTAAACTATGTTTCTTTCTGTTGCTTGTTACTGAGTTCCCTCTCACAAGTGTCCTCATTTATTAGCCTTTCCTTTAAACTTGGTTACATCGCTGGACTCCCACATGGCTGATTGCAGTTTGAGTCCTATAAAGATGGGGGGAAAGTTTGGACTGGTAACATAGGTGCTTGCTCAAGAGAGAGAGAGGAGAGGAAGAAAGCACCTCACAGCAGGGCATGGTTATGTCTCAATCCCTGCCCCTCAGTTTCTCCTCCTTGCTGGGATTCAGAGTACATCGACACATTCCTGGGTACTAAATCTAGGACTTGAACTGCACATTTGGCCATATGGAATCCACTTGCCCTAACATCTAGCCACATAGCCAGCCTTCAAAGACTATTTTGAGAGTGAGAGATTTTTGCTATAGGGTGAATATGCTCAACAGAGTGACAGAAATTGAGAAATCACCCTCCAAGGGGGATGACCATGCTGCAATCTATTCTCTCAGGATTTTGAGTACGTGCATATATGTGCCCAGAGTGATTTTCAAGCCTCAAGATCCAGAACTCAAACCATAGTCAGGCAGGTGGGAGTCCAGTGCGTTAACCATTCTGTCACCAGCTGCCCCCCCCTATTATTTTTCTTTTTTAGGTTTTTGCAACAGGATGCATGAGCTCTCCAGAGAGTCAGAGACAGAGAGACAGCGAGAAATCACCCCCCAGAGAGAATGGCCACACTGTAATCCCTTCTCCGTTCTCCTTTTGGGATTTTGGGCACACATGCACATGTACCCGGTATGAGTTTTAAGCTGCGGTGTCTGGGACTCAGACCCCAGTCGACTACGTAGGAGTCCAGTGACATAACCATTATGCCATCTGTTTGTACCAATACTTTTAAAAATAAATACTTTCAGAATACACAGAAGTAACAAGAACAGTTTTATAAATCCCTGTATATAAGCTTTATCAGTTGTGACTGCGTTCAACAAGTGTCAATTCATGGCCAATTTTTTTTTGTCTGTTCCCTCCCAACCCATCCGGCTTCAACTGGAATATTTGAATCAGTCCTCAATATCATATCATGTTAACTTGAAAATTTTTCAATAAATGTGTTTTTGTGAGTATTATTGTAAAAAGGGCATCTTTTCAAAATTTTTGACAGGACACTGGGCAATTAGATCATGGCAACCATAGAAGAAATTGCACATCAAATTATTGAACAACAGATGGGAGAGGTATGTTTAGTTTACATTCATTTGCTGACTCACCAAACTTCTTATTTACAATGAATATATATGCTAGGTTCCAAAGGTACAGGGATAAAAGATACCTCCTGACTTTAAGATATCTTTTCATTTTAATGAGAGAGCCAAATTATCAGGCAATCACAATGCAATATGGGACGTGCTATGATAAGTAACTGTATAAAAGGCTACAGGAGCACTAAAGAAAAACATCCAATGAAAAGTGTTGAGTGGGCATCTGACCAGGGAATGTTTTTGAAGGGTATGAAATCTGAGGTCAGTCTTGGTAGACCAGTAGGAGCTAGTTCATGTCAATATAGACATCTTCACATTTTTTTTAAATGATTATGTCCTGTTCCTTATTAAGTTGTACTGTAATCTGGAGGTTCTCAAAATACCACCTAGGAACCCTTCAGAGAGTCACCAAGTCAAAACTGTTTTCATAACAATACTAAAATGTTATTTGCCTTTTCAGTATTGTTCTCTAACATGTATGTAGTGGAATTAGCCACAGGCTACATGATATTGTATGATGAAATGTGTTAACATAACTTAGTTAACTAGTGTAACTTAGTTAACCAGTGTTTTCCTAATGAACAAAGGTCAATGTTACAAAATTATGTATTCAGATGGTTTCAGAAGATTCTGTTCAAATTGCATGATAGACCATTAGATTTTAATACATTAGGTCAACGGGAAAGTCATGACATATTTTTCTGTGTTATTCTATGTAAAAATGCATCATGACTTTTCCAGCGACCCAATAGTTTCTGATTCCATATAGCAACTAACCTTTAAAAAACTACCACTCGTGGCTAACTGTAGTGCTACAGAGGTAACACAACACTCTGCAGTGCCGAAGCTCTATGGGAAGGGCTTGGGTTGACATCCAGAGGCCTCCCTTTCCTGTTCATTTCAGGTATGTGTGTTTATGCTAGTGATCTTGGCTGTCTGAGGGTGAGTTGCAGCATAATGATCCTGTTAGGGGTGCTGTCTTCTCTTGCTCTCTCTTTTAGAAAAAATAAATAAAAGAACCCAAAACTTACAACTTGTTGATTTTTGGTATAGGTTGGTACAAAAGCAATAGTGATTTCTGACTGTGAATTTTAGATCATTATAACCATGCTCAAATACATCTTTATTAATCAAAATAGGCTCCATTACAGTCAACATATTTTTGCCAATGGGAAATAAGTTTGTTTACTTTAGTAGTATAAAAATCTGTGCTTTGGGACTTGACAGACTCTTGGAAAGCATCTTGTGCATTCTGCTTGTGGAAGTGTTTTCCCTGCGAAAAGTTGTTGAGATGCTTAAACAAGTGGTAGTCTGTTGTCAAAGGTCAGGTGAATATGGTGGACGTGACAAAACTTCGTAGCCCAATTTGTTCAACTTTAGAATCATTGGTTGTGTGACATGTGGTAATGCGTTGTCATGAATAGGAATTGGGGCCTTTCTGTTGACCGGTACCGGCTGCAGGCTTTGTAGTTTTTCAGGGCGCATCTCATTGATTTGCTGAGCATACTTCTCAGATGTAATGGTTTTTCTGGGATTCAGAAAGCTGTAGTAGAATACAGATTCACCAAACAGTGACTATAACCTTTCTTTGGTGCAAGTTTGGCTTTGAGAAGTGCTGTGGAGCTTCTTAGTCCAACCATTCAGCTGGTTGAGGCTAGTTGCTGTTTAAAATCCACTTGTCTTCGTATGTCACAGTCTGATCAAGAAATGGTTCACTATTGCATAGAATAAGATGGCACTTCAGAATAACAATTTTTTTATTATTTTTATTTTCGGTCAGCTCATGAGCTACCCACTTACTCAGTTTCTTCATATGCCAGATGACCAGACTGGTCAATGTTGCGTACTTCAGCAACTTCTCACGTATTTCTAAGAGGATCAGTTTCAATGATTGCCCTCGATTAGTCATTGTAACTTCTGATGGTCAGCCACCATGCACCTCATCTTCAAAGCTCTTGTCTCCTTTGCAAACTTCTTGAACCACCACTGTAGTGTATGTTTATTAGTGGTTCCTGGACCCAGATGTTGTTGTGAGTCATCTACACTGCTTTATGACCCATTTTGAACTCGAATTAAAAATTCCCTGGTATTTGCTTATTGTCTAGTCTGAAATACATTTAAAATAAACAGCAAGTAATAAGTCATTAGCAAAAAAAAGTAAGAAGTGCAGATTAAAATGATGTGTAACATAACCACATTTATTTAAAAATGTATCCATTATCAAACAGAAATTTCAACAGTGCACAACCACAGTTACTTTTGCGCCAACCTAATAGTATCAAAGAACAATTTCCTGGGACCAGCAGGTGGCATGGTGGTAAAGGTGCTGGGCTCCCACATGGCTGACCATGGTTCAAGTCCTGGACCTGACAGTTTGCTCTCTCATTTTCCCTCCCTCACTCTCTCTCTGTCTTTCTCTCTGGTTGAGTTAATAATAATAATACATTAAATAAATCTTTTTTTTTAAGAACCATTTCCTTAGTTTAAAAAGGCTATTAAAAATGGAAAACAACAGTTGACACCAGAGATAGTGTGGGAGGAGGGTAGGAAAGGGCAGAGGGTCAGAAGGTCAGAAATGGTTTTTTTAAATACACACACACACACACACACATAGAAACTAGAAAGGGAAAGTTACTGACAATAACATGCATGATTAACCCACTATGCACTATATTCTGGATGGGAAATCATATTTTGTATGCTGTGAAGATGCCTAGGGAATGAATGTAAATTAATTAATTTAAAAAACGTTTCAGGAAAAAAATAGTTCATGGAAATACATGTAATGGGAAAACTATGTATAAATTTCAAAAAGTTTTTGTGCCAAAATAAATTCATACTTTAATTGTAAAAAAAAAAAATTAAAAACATTAAGTGATGTATTGACCAAATAAGATATGTAGACATTTTATAGCTTCTGATTTGAACAAGTATCTATAAAAACTGTGTAAGAATGAAATAAAGTATGAGTTGGATATTTAATGAAGTATGCATTGGATATTTAAAAAACCAGCCAAGGCCAGCAGGTGACATGGTGGTTAATGTGCTGGCCTATCACAGAGCTGATTGCAGTTCAAATCTCAGACCTAACAGCTTGCTTTCTTATTTTCTCTCTCCCCCTCCCTCCCTCTCTCTGTTTTTCTCTGCTGAGCGCATATGTCCTATAGCTAATTTTTAAAAAGAATAATAATAGTAAATAAAATTAAGTAATTCTTTTAAAAATATATATCCTGGACCAGCTGGAATCATGATGGTTAAGGCAGCTGAGTCCCCATGGCCAATTGTGTGGTTTGAGTCCCAGACCCAGAAGCTTGAAAAACACATCAGGAGTCCAGCAGATTGCGTAGTGGTTACGTAGCTGTTCGAGGCCCGGACATGGCTGCTTAAAGCTCACACTGGGTATGTGTGTGTGTATGTGTGTGCCCAAAATCCTGAGAGGAGAATGGAGGACAAGGGATTGTGATCTGGCCATCTCCCTAGGGGGCGATACCTCACTTTCTTTTCTTTCTTTTTTTTTTTTAAATATAATTGTTTTATTTATCTTTATTTATTTATTTTAATTTGACCAGAGAAGAACAGAGAGAGAGAGAGAAAGTGAGAAAGCAAGCCACCAGGTCCGGGACTAGAACCACGGTCTTCCATGTGGGAATCCAGCGCTCCCAACCACCATGCCACCTGCCGGCCCCCGATTTCTCTTTCTATCTCTCTCTCTCTGTTTCTTTGGCAAGTGCACACGCCCTATAGCAAAAATCTCTCTTAAAAAAAAAAAACAGAAAAACACACCAGGCACGTTTGTATGTGTGGCCCAAATCCTGAGATCAGAATGGAGGAGAAGAGATTGTGATGTGGCATTCGTCTTGGGGAGTGCTTTCCTATTTTCTTTCTCTCTCTGGCAAGCATACACACCCTATAGTAAACATTTTTATTCTCTCTCTGGCAAGTATACACACCCTATAGTAAACATTTTTTAAAATGTAAACAAAATATTCTTTCTCATTTTGAACTAGTCCTATAACCTAGTGGTTAAGGGAGCCAAATTCCATGTGACTGACCATGGTTCAAGTCCTGGTGCTTTTTGCTTGAAAAGCACACTAGACACATATATACCCCAAATCCCATCAGGATGGAGAAATGGAGGAATAGGGTTTGTAGTGTGGGGTACTTTCCTCCTAGCCATCTCCAGTAAGCACATGCAATCTCTGGTGTGTATGTGTGTATACACACATTCATACATATACATATACACACACACATACATACACCTTTCCTTTTTCAATTAATAATGTGAGCCTAATGCAAACAACATTTCCACCAGATTAAATGAAGAAGTAATTAATGAGATTTCAGTTTCTTTTATTAAACCAGAATGATTTGCAAAGATATAAAACAGGGTCACTCTACCACTCAAACTTTTTTATAAAAGAATTATTTTATTTGGGACCAGCAGGTGGCATGGTAGTTAAGGTGCTGGACACTCCCAGGTGGCCAACTGTGGTTTAAGTCCTGGAGCTGGTGGCTTACTTTCTCACCTTTTCTCTCTCATTCTCTGGCTCTCTCTCAAATTGAATGAATGAATAAAATTTTTTTTAAAAAAAGAAGTCTTTAATTAATTTACTTATTTAAATTTGACCAGAGGGGGACTGAGTGAGAGAAACGGAAAGTAAGAAAGCAAACCACTAGGTCCATGTGGGAGTCCAACGCCGTTAACCACCACACCACCTGCTGGCTGCCTACCCACTAAATTTTTTTTTTTAATATTCTCTCTGAATTTCTAGTATATTAAATATCAGTAGATAGAATCCACATAAACAAAAACTCTTTGGGACCTTCAGTAATTTATTTTAGAGTGTAAAGGGGTCCTGAGACCTGAGAACTGTTTTCGTAATCTACTGTTCTCTGTTGAGAAGACCATTATTGAAGGTCATTTGGATTGCTTTGATTATTATAGTTATTATGCTATAGCAGATATCCTTTTAATTATCTAAGCCAAGAATGTTTCAACTCAGTAATGGCTATTCCCTATATGTACCTAATTGTCTTCTCTAAGAAATAAATGTGAGCCATTAGCTTTTTATTCAGTTCACAGTGAGTATTGCTTACAGAAATAATTCATCATGCCCATGGCCTGGTGGGTGAGGCAACCATGGCGGCACATGACTGACTAAGCTGTTTCAGTCATAGACCCAGTGGTTTGAGAAAACATGTGTATGCCCAAAATCTCTTGAAGGGAGGGAGAAATGGAGGAAGAGGGTTTGTGGCTGGTTGCTTTTTTACTTGCTCGCATGCACTCTCTCTTTTGCTCTTTTGAAGACTCATGCTGTCTGGCAAGTTAAAAAAAAAAAAGAATCCAAAATAAAATTGAAAACTGCTTAAATTTTTTTAAAAGAATTTAATTTATTCTTCTTATTTATTTCTTCTTATTATTTTTAATTTGATGGGGGTGGGGGTGAGAAAGCAAGTCACCAGGTGGTATTCAAACCATGGTCAGCCATGTGGGAGTCCAGCAACTTAATCACCATGCCACCTGCCAGCCCCCGGCTTAAATTTTATGGTAAAAATCAGTTAGAGATGAACACTGAAGCAGATCACATTTTGTACATCATTGGCAATCTTAAACATTATTGGAATTGGAATAGAAAACTGGGCTTGTTAGAAGCACCTATGGTAAAATAAAACTCTCAGTATTTTAAAAAACAACAGCAAAATTGTACCCAGAATAATAGGTCTAGGTAGAAATGATGGTTAACAACAGCAATAAAATATATTGACAGCAACTGTAATCAATATAATTTGTCTAGACAAAAACTGATTAATCAGAACTTATTTTAAATTTTTCATAGAAAAGAATCTTGATGAAAAAAATCCAGGAAAATTAAAATGAAAAATCCTGGAAAGAAGCCAACTTTATCATTTTAAAATTGAGTCAGGGAATTTAGTCGACTAAATGACTTAACTCTAGAGAATATTTGCTCAATAGCAAAACTTTATGATGGCTGGTTGTCCTGATTCATGAACTTGCTCTTCCCCAGACTACCACATCTCAGATGGCAGTTCTGTCCTCCCCGTTGCTCAGGCCAAAGTTTTATAATCATCTATGACTCTTTCCTTTTAATTCCATTCTAACTCACTAGTACATTTTATAACCTATTTCTTCTGAAAAATATCCCAAATCCAATTGTTTTTTTACTCCCCCATTATGGTCCTAGGCAGTATCTGCCCATAAATGATAACCTGATATTGAAAGTATCTGTAATAGGATTTCTTTCCTTTCCTTTCCTTTCCTTTCCTTTCCTTTTCTTTTCTTTTCTTTTCTTTTCTTTTCTTTTCTTTTCTTTTCTTTTCTTTCTTTTCTTTCTTTTCAGGTTTTTGTCTTATGGTGTGTATGTTCGCCAGAGAGAGACAGACACAGTGAGGGGGAACATGAGAAATCAACCCCCCGGGGGATGACCATGCTGCAGTCTCTTGTCCTCCGAGGATCTTGGGCACACATGCACATGCTCTTGGCATGATTTTTGAAGCCACCATGTCCAGGGCTTGAACCATGGTCACATGTGGGAGTCCAGCAACATAACCGCTACACCGTCTGCTGGTCCCGTGGTAGGATTTTTTTCTGATTCTTCTAATTCCACTTTTGAACATTCACAGTCTATTCACACTAAATCTAGAGTCATCCTTTTGTAAAAAGTAAGATTCTGTCACTCCTGTACTTGAAACCCTCCAGCTGCTTTTCATTTCAAACCATAGGAAATCTAGACTTTTGTATGGTCAGTGAAGCCTTCTTAAGGACAATTTCCTCATTGCCCTCATTCTCTTAGTGTCTCTCACCTTACCTTGGTTTGTGTTTCTTTGGAGCAGTTATTACCACCTGACTTTATTATTTACTTACGTAAATATTATTATTTATTCCCTACTAAAATAAAAGATTCATGAGGGCAAAAATTTTATTTTATTCACTACAATATTCCAAAATGGTAACTAGAACATACCCAACGTATATTTGTCTAAATGGAAGGTGAAAAGGGGAAAGAAGGAATCAAAACCTGAGGTCAGAATGTTCTTCCCGTTGGTCCAGCTGGTGGCACAAATAGTAATGCCACACTGGCAGTGGGTCCTCGTGGAACGGTCCCAGATTCACTGCCTAGGCTCTTCCTGTGCACACCAGTGACACATGTGCCCATAATCAGGGCTGGCTGAGGCGAGGGGCGAATAACAGCCTAAAGACCCTGGTGTGGGTACCTGCTCTTTGGCTGTCCTTCTATCTGTTTCCCTGTCTTTCATAAAAGAAATAAACTTTTTGAAAGTTCTTACTATCGTACTTTTATTTACATATTTTTCCATAGTATAGAATGTCTTAGAAATACAAGTGATAGTTTAAAATATGAGAAAAGTGTATCATTAGAGAAAAAAGATTGGGTTAAATTGATTGTTTGACATGATTGTGTTAGATTGTTACAGAGCAGCAAACTGGGCAGAAAATCCAGATTGTGACAGCACTTGATCACAATTCCCAAGGCAAACAGTTCATTCTGACTAATCATGATGGCTCTACTCCAAGCAAAGTCATTTTGACCAGGCAAGATTCCACTCCAGGGAAAGTTTTCCTCACAACTCCAGATGCAACAGGTGTCAACCAGTTATTTTTTACAACTCCTGATCTATCTACACAACACCTCCAGGTAAATAATTGTAGATGTTTCTTTTCATCTTATACTTGAAAAAAATTATAAAGCATGTTATGAGTCCTACCAATAAGACTTTACATATATGCATATTCACTTTAAAAAATCAATAAAATTGTGTATATTGCAGAGTATCTATGGTGACTTCCCTTTCCTATGGGCCACTGAACTTTCCCTCACAATTTCCCCTACCTGTATATTTCCAGGGAGGGGCTTTTCTTTTTCCTGTAGGGCACATGTGCTTGCTAGAGAGAAAGAGAAGGTCAGAAAGCATCCCCAGGGGAGATGATCATGCAACGCCACAATCCCTTTTCCTTTAGTCTCCTCCTGGGATTTTGAGCACACATGCACATGTTTCTGGCATGTTTTTCTTTCTTTCTTTTTTTTTTCTATAAAAGATCTGTTTTATTTAACTTTATTTATTTAAATTTGATCAGAGAGAGAAAGAGAGAAAGCAAACCAACAGGTCAGGGACTTCAACCATGGTCGGCCATGTGGGAGTCCAGCGCCCTTAACCACCATGCCACCTGCCAACCCCATGCCCAGCATGTTTTTCAAGCCACCAGATCCAGGAATCAAAGAGCACAGTCAGCTGTGTGGACTCCAACAGCCTTAACTACTATGTCACCTGGCTGGCTCTATTTTGAAGGATCATTAGTTGCGTACTGTAAGATCCACTCTAGCTAGTTTGGCAAGGAAGGGATTTAATAAAGAATATATGGAATTTGCAGAAATGTTGGGAAGGCTGAAAAACAGTTCTAGGCTAGATTTCCAAGAATAGCTGTTACTGCAAAACTGACTTCTAAGATATTCCTTCCCTCTACACAGTTAGGAAGCTGTCAAATCAGGGCAGCTTCTGTAGAGATAATTTCCAGAACCAAGCTGCTTGTGCCATGAATGGGAAGCTGCCAAATCAAAAGAGTCAATACTGTAGCTGAGGTAGCTGATAGCTTCTGCATTGTGCTTCCTCTTGACATCTGCATCTTCAAGACCAAGTAAGCATTCTACCCTGTCATCTGTTTTAAGGTGGAACTCAGCAGTTGTTTTAATTTTTGCCAAAATACAAAATGCATATTCTTCAAAGAGCCAGTTAAGACTCACATACTGCATGCCTTTGGTTATATAGATATTTGTATACTGCTGGTTGCTCTGATTGAATACAAGTAAAATGCACCCTTAAGTTTGCCTTCAGAGACCTGGAGATACCAGTTTCTCATCACAAAACTGAGTTCCATGTTTTGTGATGAGAAACTGATAAAAGTAAGTTCCTATGTATAAAAGTCCTAATGTATAAACATGAAAATTTGCCTACTTCCAGTGACATTTATTTGTATTATTTTTTAGAAACTAAGGTAGAAAATGGCTAGGGCTAGAGCCAGCTCATGGCATGATGGTTAGGATGGCTGGATTCCACATGGCCGACTATGTGGCTCAAGTTGCAAACCTGCAGCTTGAAAAAATACTTGAGGTGCGTGTGCATGCATGCTCAAAATCCCAAAAAGAGGGAGAAATGGAGAATTACTGTGTGACCATTTACAATGGGGAGTGCTTTCCCACTTTCCCCATTTTCTCTGTTTCTCTCTAGTAAGCATGCATCCCCTGGCAAATTAAAAAAAATAATAATAATAAAAGACAAAAAGGATTATGGATTTAGAAGAATTAGTTTTACCAATAAGACAAAAGTCACAAAAATATTAATAGTATTAAGTATACCATAATTTCTTCTTCCTTTTTTTTTTCTTTTTTAATTTTAGTTTGCTAGAGGGTTCATGTGCTTGCTGGAGAAATAGAAGAGAGAGAAAGGAAAAGTGAGGAAACACTCCCAGCAGCGGGTGGCTATGCCACAGTCCCTTCTCCATTCTTCTCTCAATATTTTCGGTATGCACGCATGTGTCCCAGGCATGTTTTCCAAGCCACCATACAGTCAGTCAGTGGGATCCAGCTGCCTTAACCGCCATGCCACCAGTTGGCCTAATTTTCTTTTCCTTTTTTTTATTAATAGACTTGATTTTTATAACAGTTTTAGATTTGGAGAAAAGTTACACAAATAGTACAGAGAGTTCTCATATTACCCCTCCCAACACATTTTTACCTATATTTTTATATTTGTATGAGACATTCATTACAATTAATGAACCAGTGTTTATTTACAATATGTTATTAATTAAAGCCCATAGGTTTTTATGCTTTCCTTTAGTTTTTACTAATTTCCATTTTTGTTCAGGGATCCCATCTAGAATATACCGTATCACTTTTAGTTTCATGTCTCCTTAAGCTCCTCTTGGATATGACAGTTTTGAGGAGTAGTGGTCAAGGATATTATGTGATGGTCCAATGTTGGACTTGGCTTGATTTTTTTTCTCGTGATTAAACAGGTGCTGTTGTTCTGGGTTTTTAGGAAGATTACAGAAGTTAAAAGTGCTGTTTCAGGGTCCAGCAGGTGGCATGGTAGTTAAGGGGCTGTTTAGCACATGGATGACTGCAGTTGGAGCCCCAGAAACTATGGCTTGAAAATCATGCCAGCCAGTTGTGCGTGCATGCCCAAAATCTGAGAGGAGAATGGAGGAGATAGGATTGTGGCGTGGCCATACTCCTTTGGGTCGGTGTCCTCTGTCTCTCTTCAGCAAGCATACACACCCTATCACAAAAACATGAAATAAATAAATAAAATATCATCTCATCACACTATCTATATCAAGGGGTTATGATTTGGGGCCAGCAAGTGGCGTGGTGGTTAGAAGTGCTGGACTCCCACATGACCAACCACGATTCAAGTCCTGGACCTGGTGAATTGCTTTTTCACCTTCCTTCTCTTCCTGTCTCTCTCTGATCAAACTGTAAAATTAATAATTATAAATAAAGTTAAATAAAATCTTAAAAAAAAAAAGGTTTATGACTTATGACTAGTGAGGTTGGCCTTGATCACCTAGCTGAAGTAGCTTTTGTCAGATCTCTATGTTATACAGTTAAACCTCTTTTAAAATACCAACTTTTAAAAAAAGAATTATGTATTTAAAAATAAGTAAGAGAGGGACCGAATGAGAGAGAGAGGGAAAAAGCAAGCCACTGGGTCCAAGACACAAACCTCAGTCGGCCATGTGGGAGTCCAGGCCACTTGCTAGGCCCTAAAATGTTATCTTTTAAAAGTAAAGATAATATTGGTACTGTGCCTACTTTATAGATCATCTCTTAGGACAATGAGAGAGAGAAAGAGAGAGAGAGAGAGGTTAGAATTCTCTGGGCCAAGAAGATTTAATTTCGGATCTAATGATCTAAGATGGAATGTGGGCAAATCCCTTAACTTCTGTATCTTTTTATAGTAATCATATTTGTGTAATTATAATTCTCTGTCAGTAAAGATTATTTCTTTAAAACTCTAGGAGCCAGCAGATGGTGTGGTGATTAAGGCTCTGGACTCCTACATGACTGACATTGTTTGCGTCTTGGACCTGGCGGTTTGAAAATCATGCCAGGCACTTGTGTGTGTGTGCCCAAAATCCTAGAAGGGGAATGGAGGAGAAGGGATTGCCGCGTGACCATCTGCTTTGGGGGATGAGTTTTCACTTTCCCTCTCATTGTCCCTCTCTTTCTCTCTCCAGTGAGCGTATGCACCCACTATGGCAAAAAAAACTTTAAAAAAATTTTTTTTTTTTGCTTCAGAAGTTCAAATTGGGCCAGCCCCATAGCTCACTGGTTAAGAAAACTGTATTCCACATGAACAACCTCAGTTTTAATCCCAACCCTGGCAACTTGATGAACGCACCAGACATTTGTGCATGGGTGCCTAAAATCTTGACAGGATGGAGAAAAGAAGTGATCTTAAGATTGCGAGATACAGATTGACTAGTTTTACTAATCTGATCTTCTTTGTTTTCTTAACCATACCCCATTGGGAAGTGCTTTCTCTCTCTCTCTGTCTCTGGTGAATGAATACACCTGCCCTCTGGCAATTTAAAAAATGTTCAGGGTTATCTTGTTATGCGATTGTTGTAAACCTATTTTTGTCATGTCATTCCACATGGAAAGATTATGAACTCTTCAAAGACAAATACTACATAGAACCATTAACTGCTGCAATAATTTGATAATGTCGCATATGAATAAGAGCGCTTAATGGTCAAAGATGTATTAGAAATATTCATGTATTTGTGTGCTGAATAGTTTGATCGCTTTAGTGGAATTGTTATAGAACAAATTAAAAAGCTATTGCTGCAGTCCTACTGAAATTTTCACTTGTGCAGACAAAATGAAGGCTATTTTTATTATATAAATTATATATAGTAATAGGGCTCACAGCTTAAAAATAACTCATGAAAAAGAAAGCAGAAAAGCAAGACCAACTGAATGTTTTTTAATTTTTTAACAAAATGAATGTTATTGAGTAACTTTTTTTTTTTTTTAAGCTGTTAACAGATAATTCCTCCCCAGACCAAGGACCAAATAAGGTTTTTGAGCTTTGTGTAGTATGTGGAGACAAAGCATCAGGTAACATTAAAAACACTCCCTACATGTGTTCTGCTATTAAAATAACTGTCATATTACCATGTTCTACTAAAAGTGAAAAGAACATGTATGTCATTTTTATGGTTTATATTTGTAGTCTATAAAATTTAGCTAATAGAATAATTAGCTTTTTTAACTCGCCTTTATACTCCATTGCAATTTAATTCTGTTTGTAATGATAGCATTCATGTTTCAGTGGATTAGGGTAATTTACCTTTTCTAAGTAAACATATGGAGACATTTTTAAATACAAAAATCAGATGTTTTGTAAAAAGAATTATTTTAAAATGAGTTGCGATATTTAAAAAATGTATTACATTGGGGTTGATGGTGGCGTGGTGGTTGAGGTGCTGGATTTCTACATGGTGGCAGCTTGCTTTTTCACTTTCCCTTTCTCTCTGTCTCTGGTTAAATTAAAAAATAATAATAACAGATGACATTAAATAACTCCTTTTTAAAAAGTGTATTACATTAAGGTTTATTTATTTATTTTTTTGGAGAGGTTTTTGCCATAGGGTGTGTGCGCTTGCCAGAAAGACAGAGAGAGACAGAGAGACAGAAAGCGAGAAATCCCCCCCTGGAGGGATGGCCACACCGCAGTCCTTTCTCCTCTATTTTCCTCTCGGGATCTTAGGCATGCATGCACACGAACCCGGTATGAGTTTAGGTCACTGGGTCTAGGACTCAAACCGCGGTTGACTGCATGGGAGTCCAGCAACATAGCCTTTACGCTAACTGCTGGTCCCTACATCAAGTTTTTAACCTACTTCTTAAGCCCTGTTCAGGAATTCAGAGTAATTTGAATTTTAAGGTGGATAGAGCTTATTTTCCTTTTTTCTTTTTTTTCAGAGAGATTTTTGCTATAGGGCCCATGTACTCGCTGGAAAAACAGACAGAAAGTGAGAAATCACCCCTCAGGGCAAATGGCCTTGTTACACAGTTCCTTCTCTTCCCTCCTCCTCTTGGGATTTTGGGCATACACACACACACACACACACACACACACACACACACACACACACACACACACACACACACCGGGTCTGGGACTCATACCACCATCGACTACATGAGAGTCCAGCAATGTAACCATTATGCCATCTGCTAGTCACATCTCATTAACCTTTTTTTCTTTTGTTTTATAGAGATTTTTGCTATAGTGTGCATCTACTCATTGGAAAGACAGAGAGGAGACAGAGAGAGACAGAAAGTGAAAAATCATCCCCCCTCGGGGTGGGGGTGGCCATGCTATGGTCCCTTCTCCTCCATTTTCCTCTCAGGATCTTGGGAGCACATGCCCATGTGCCCAGCATGAGTTTTAAGCTGTCAGGTCTGGGACTCGAACTGTAGTCAACTATGGGAATCCAGCAACGTAACCATTATGTCATTGACTGGTCCCATCTTGTTAACCTTTTTTTTAATGCTTCATATTGCTGGGTGGGTATTTACAAAGCCTGTTACTAGTACTCAAGGTTAAGTGATTTTACTTCTGACTGTTGTTATCCAAAAAATGCACATTCATATCCCTTCACAAATGCCTGTTGTACATAATTTAAGAACCCAGTTTGTTTTCATTAATCCTTTTTTAATGTATTAATAAAATGTCCACTAGAGTTTTTCCTAAAACGTGTTCAATTTGTTAATAGATGGGCAAAAGAAATTTCTGAAGTAACAGGTTAATCCAAATGTAAGATTTCAAGGAACTCAAAATGAGAAGGGATTATTTTAGTCTAAATACTATCTGATCATTTATCATTTTTTCTGGAGCATAGGTTTCAGATAATAATATTGGGTTGTTGGAAAAGTCATGGTGTATTTTTCTGTTTTTCTATGCAAAAATGTGTCATGACCATATGGGCCAGCAGATGGCATAGAGGTTAACGTGACAACCCCACTTGACCAACTCCACAGTTCAAGTCCTGGACCCAGCAGCTTGAAAAACATGCTGGAGGAACCAGCAGGTGCAGTGGTCTTTGAGGCACTGAACCCCCACATGGCTGACTGCAGTTCAAGTCCTGGACCTGCAGCTTGCTTTCTCGCTATCCCTCTCTCTCTGTCTCTCTGGTCAAATCAAAAGATAACAATAGTAATAATAATAATAATAAGTAAAATGGAATAAATTATTCTTAAAAGCAAAACAAAACATGCTGGGTGCATGTATATGCATGCCCAAAATCCTTAGAAGAGAATAGAGAAGGGATTATGGTTTGCCCATCCCCCTGAGGGGCATGCCTTTTCACTTTCCCTCTCTCTCTCTTTTAGTCTCTCTCTGGTGAGTGTGTGCACCCTATAGCAAAAATAAAATTTTAAAAATTATCATATGTAATCCATAACAGAACTGTAATTTGTAAGTGATCTCAGAAGTAAAAAGTTTTTAATGTTAAAAAATAGGATTATGAATGATTTTGTTCTCTTTCCCAAATTTTCTATACCATTACTAAGGTTACCTACAAAATTTTAAACTTTGTTTTGTTTCATGTTCTATTTAATAACTCCTAAAAGTTTTTTTTTCCATGTTGGAAACTTGAAAATCTCAGTTTAATCTCACATTATTGTTTAAACAAAAGAAATGAGTTTTATTTCTGTTGTAAAGTAGGTAACTTTTGTATTGAATATTTTTTCTCCAGGGCGTCATTATGGAGCAATAACTTGTGAAGGCTGCAAAGGATTTTTTAAAAGAAGTATCCGAAAAAATTTAGTGTATTCATGTCGAGGATCAAAGGACTGTATTATTAACAAGCACCATCGAAACCGCTGTCAATACTGCAGGTTACAGAGATGTATTGCGTTTGGAATGAAACAAGATTGTATGTATTAGCTTTAAAGGAGAAAATACTTTAAGGATTTCAGGAGCATATTCAAATTAATATTAAAATATGTGAAATATATGTATTTTTAATTGAATTTTCCAACTAAAAACTTTCGAATGTATACATATGTGCATGGATTTTTTTTTTATTAAGTACTTCTTGGGTGTATATGTACCAAGCATGTATTTATAGTTTGAACTTGGCCTAAAAAAAGCACAGCGAACTAGATACCAGATTGCTTTTTGATTAAACTGTTTAAAATTGATTAACAATGTAAGGACAATGGCTAATATTGATTGTTCTATGCTAGATTCCAAAAATGTGTCTTAGACCTTTTCAATGTATCTAATAGCATTATTTTCATTTAATTAAGTTTTATTTCATTTTTTAAACTCCGATATAGTTGAGTAAGAGACTTCCAAGTTCAGTTCTTCCTTCTCAACGATGAGGATTTCTCTGTATTTCTATCTGAGGGGTGGGGGACAAGGAGAGAAAAGAGAATGAGAGGTGCTGATTGGCCAGTTTTACCAATCTGAAGCGCCTTTGTCACGCTTGAGTATAATTTGTAGTTTGGTGAGTTTTTTTCAGACTTCAGTGTGATACCAGATCTCCCATTAGCAACACTGGTGATCTAGAGCTTAACATTTATAACTGCCTATTAAATCCTAATTGAGATATAATTGTTTAACCCATTCGTGTAGCTGTTCAGTGTGAAAGAAAACCCATTGAAGTATCACGAGAAAAATCTTCCAACTGTGCTGCTTCAACAGAAAAAATCTACATTCGAAAAGACCTTCGAAGCCCTTTAACTGCAACTCCAACTTTTGTAACAGATGGTGAAACTGCAAGGTATAGTAAAATAAACATTAACAGCTGATTATTTGGTTTTCTTTCCAGTGAAACTAAGGCTAAAGTTCGTACTTGTTGCAGGTCGACAGGACTGTTAGATTCTGGAATGTTTGTGAATATTCATCAGTCTGGAATAAAAACTGAGTCGGCTGTGCTGATGTCACCAGATAAGGTATGTTTGTTGCAATTTAAAGCTTAAATTATTATTTTTTTAATCCATGGAATACCACATGCACATGATAGCAGGAGAGAGATAAAAGAGAAAAGTACTCTCCACAGGGATTACAATCCCTCTCGTCTAGTCCTCTAGCCCATCAGGTCTTGGACACTTGAACCAACGACTGGCATATTTCAGACTGACCACAGTGGGCATTCTGTCTGTGGTTGCTGTGTGGTATCTGGTGTCTCATTTTTTGGCAGGGGAGAGATTTTTGCTATAGGGCACATGTGCTCGCCAGAAAGACATGGAGACAGACAGAAAGCGAGAAATCACGCCCCCACCCCCCCCAGCAGGGATGGTCACACTGCAATTCCTTCTCCTCCATTCTCCTCTCAGGATCTTGGGCATGCATGCACATGCGCCTGTTTTTTTGTTTTTTGTTTTTTGTTTTTTTATTTTGGAGGCGTCTCTTGAGCAGCACATTTACTATCGTAGAAATGTTTATTACTCCACTAGGACATTTATAGGTTCAATATGAAAGCAACAGACATTTCAGATTCTTTTAGATTTTTTTTTTTCATCTTGAAATGAAAGTTCTCAGAAAAAGAAAGTTACAATAAGTGAAAAATTTAGTTTTTTTTAAAAGTTCTGCACTTATTATAACTTTCTTTTTCATTAGTGTCAAAATAGTTCATTAGTGTCAAAATATTTCTTCTATTTTAGGTAAAGAGAAATTCTTAGCACACCTCAGTCAAAGCATTCACTTTGAATTAAGAATAGGGATAGGACTGGAAAAGCACTCCAGATCACCTGGATTCGCTTAGGGATTAGATTAGCTCTTTTAGGCAAGGTACCTGAGGGGAAAAAGGAGTTATTTATGTATTTTTATTTGTTTGTTTATTTTGCTGTAGGGTGCGTACACTCACTGGCAAGAAAGTAAATAGAAGGCACTCCTCAGGGGGATGGTCACACCACACTCTCTTCTTAGTTCTCCTCTCAGGATTTTGGGCACATGCACATACGCATGTCATGGTTTTCAAAGCCCTGGGTCTGGGACTCCAACTGCTCAGCCAGTTATGTGGAATCCAGCTATCTTAACCACCATGCCACCATGCCTCCAGCTAGTTCTTGCTATTATTTTTTTTTTTATTTGCCGGAGGGTACATGTGCTTGTTAGTGTATGTGAATTGAAGAGTATGAGAGAAGGAGAGAGAATCCCCCCAGTGGGGAACGGTCATGCTGCCATCCATTTCTTCCATTTTTCCTATCCTGTCAGGATTTTGGGCATGTACACACATGTTTTGGCATGTTTTTTAAGAAACTGAAGACAGGATTTAAATTGTGGTCAGCCATGTGGAATCTGGTCCCCAGTACAAGTGCTTAAGGACTGTAACTAGAGGACCAACCCAACTAAACATTTACTTAGGTTAAGCATATAGACTTGCTGTACTTCTCAGAACTCGTTAAAGAACAAGAAGGAAAAATTTATCCTGAAAACTCATATCTGAAAATAGACTTCAGGAGCCTGTGATCAGGGTTTTCTCATTCTGCTATTTTGTTACATATTTCTTGTTTCATGCCTTAAGACACTGAATACTTGGGCTCTGTGCTATTAGGTGCATAACGTTAGTTAAGTTATTGGAAAAGTGAAATGAAACCATGAGTTTATTTTGTTGTAAAAAGTTTTGAAATTCATACATATTTTTTTTTTTTTGAGAGGTTTTTGCAATAGGACGCGTATATTCGCCAGAAAGACAGAGAGAGACAGAAAGCGAGAAATCATCCCCCAGGGAGGATGGCCATGCCGCAGTCCCTTCTCCATTCTCTTCTCAAGATCTTGGGCATGCACACACACGTGCCGAGTGTGAGACTGGGTCTGGGACTCGAACTGTGGTCGACTACATGTGAGTCCAATGACATAGTCATTATGCCACCTGCTAATCCCAATGCATAATTTTTGTATAATACACATTTTCCACAAATGATAGTAAGACTCCCATCATATATAAAAATCTAGTATTTTTAAATGATACTAAGAAAAAAATCATCTGTCACCACTAGATGTTGCTAGGGCATCAACTTGTTACTCAGTAACTAAATAGAAAAAAAACCAAGTACCTATCTGGACCATGAGGTGGCATGGTGGTTAAGTTGTGGATCCCACATGGCCAACTGTGTGGTCGGAGTCCTAGACCCAGCTGTTTGAAAAACACATGGGACACATGTGCATGCATGCCTAAAAACCCAAGAGGAGGATGGAAGAGAGAGGATAGCGGCATGGCCATCCTCCTGGGGGATGATTTCTCACCTCCTCTCCTTTCTCCTCTCTCTGACAAGCACACGCACCCTATAGTAAAAAATAGAAACAAAAAAATACAAGCACCTATCTATCTTTCCTGTATAAATTATATTTTTGGGTGGTAAATAATTAAGGAAAAAGTTATTTTTATAAAAAAAGAATTTATGTATTTTTAAGTTATTCTTTAACTTAGTTATTTAATTTTACTTCATTTATTTATTTATTTATTTTAATTTATTTAATTTGACCGGGAAAGAGAGAGAAAAAGTGAGAAAGCAAGCTGCCAGGTCCGGGACGTGGGAGTCCAGCACCCTTAACCACCAAGCCACCTTCTGGCTCCCCAAAAATTGTATTTAATGCATAGAGAATGTATATATTACTAACAAACATTAAAAATAAAGATGAAGTCAATGAACCAGCTCTGTGACCTGGTGGTTAAGGTAGCCAGATCCCACATAGTCAACCTCATGGTTTGGGTCCTGAACCTGATAGCTTGAGAAACATACCAGATGTATGTGCCCAAAATCCCAATAGGATGGTGAAATGGAGGAGGAAGGACAAGGGCAGGAATATTTCCTATGGGGGTAAGGTGGGTGGGAGGTGGTACTTTCTTCCTCTCCCTCTTCTCCCTCTCTGGCAATCACATACAGTCCCTACAAAAAATTTAAATAAATAAAATAACAAAGGCACATGAGGAGAAAGTGTGCAGTATATAACATAAGATCAGTATCTTAACTAGATAAAGAGATTTTTGAATTTCCAATAAGAGAAAAATGGGCAACTGCTAGGTTTTTTTTGTTTTGTTTTACATAGTGCCTGATAATTAATGTATTTAATGTGGTGTCTGATAAAAGTTGGCATTCTAGGAAATCTGTTTAATAATACATTTGTCTTTTTCCCCTTTTCACTAGTATTCTTTACATTATGTACAGATTTATAGTTTGCATTAAGTTTGAGAAATTATAATAATATCTGAATTTTAATACTAAAAAACTTGAAAAATTATCTTAATTTAATGTTGCTTTATAGAAGAAGCAGGTGTGGCACAGATGGTTTAGCCATCAAGTGCTATTTTTGTTCTTGTGTTTTTTTTCTGTGTGTTCTTGTGTTTTTTTTAATTACCAGAGAGTACATGCAGTTGCTAGAGAAAGAAGGTCATGGTCACACAGCGATCCTTCTTCCATTTCTCTATGCTGTCAGGAGTTGGGGCACGCATACACACACACCCAGCATGGTTTTTGTTTGTTTATTTGCTTTGTTTTTTTGAGAGAGATTTTTCTACTGGGCATGTTTGCTCACTGGAGAGGCAGAGACGGAAAGAAATCACCCTCTCAGGGAATGGCCACTCTGCAGTCATTTTCTTCTCTGCATTTTGGGCATGAATGAGCATACAATGAACGAACATAGCATGAGTTTCAAGTCACCGGGTCTGAGGCTTGAACTGTGTGTGGTGAGCCATATGGGAGTATAGCAGCTTAATCTCTTTACCACCTGCTGGCCCCACCAAGCACAATTTTCAAGCTGCTAGGGCCACGATTCAAACCATGGTTGGCCATGTGGAATCCATGCACAGTGCTTAATTGCTGTGCTATAGGACCAGCCCTGTGTTTTCTTTTGTCTTTTTTTTCTTTAAAATTTTTAGAGAGAGATTTTTGCTATAGGGTGCGTGTGCTTGCCAGAGAAACAGAAACAGACAGAGAGACAGAAAGTGAGAAATCACCCCCAGAGAGGAGGACCATGCCACAATCCCTTCTCCTCCACCCTCCTCTTGGGTCTTTGGGCATGCACGCCTATGTGCTGGTGTGAGTTTAAACCACTGCCTCTGGACTCAAACCTCAGTCAGCCATATGGGAGTCTAACGACAAAATTTCTACACCATCTGTTTGTCCCATCTTTTTTCTTTTTTTCCCTTTTTTTTAATAGTAGAGGTTATAGATACACACACACAGACATGTGAAGGAAAAACACCTTTATCAGGTCTCATGCCACTGTCTCCTTTTCCTAGGCTTTGAGCTGCACAGGCTCTTAGGTACTCACACACACCCATTATGTTTCCAGGCGACTGGGAAGCCATATGCCTTCCAGCCTCATAGGGCACTTGTAAGTACCACTGTACCACAGCACCTGGGTCAGTTTTTGGTTTAAAGTAACTGTCTTAAATATTTAAGAAAAGTACCTGATGTTTTTTAAGCATACTTTTCCTCAAGAAGTGTCTGAAAGCTCACAACTCTTTTGATTTTACTGTTTATATTTATCTTAGTATAGTTTTATTTTGGCATTTGATAATCTAAAATTGGATATTTCAGATTTTAATATATACTGATACTAATTTGCAGAATTTTAATTACCACTCCCCCTTTCCTTTTTTTAAAAGGCTGAATCATGTCAGGGAAATTTAAGTACACTGGCCAGTGTGGTTACATCATTAGCAAACCTTGGAAAAACTACTAAAGATCTTTCTCAGAATAGTAATGAGCTGTCAGTGATGGAAAGCTTAAGCAACAGTGATACCTCTTTGTGTGAATTTCAACAAGAAGCGCAGACCAATGGTGATGTTTCAAGGTAAGGTCTGTTGACCTTAAATGTCCTTTTGTTTATGTGTCTTAGTATTTCTTGAAATATTTTCATGTTAAATAATTTTACAAAAGTTTCAGGAAATTAACAGACTTGGAAGAGTTAAGGCACTGTAAGTTCTAACTGAGAAATGGCATTTAGTTTAAGATGTCTGACAGGATACGATTTTTTTTTCTTGTTCTTTTACACTTTCAGTCACATTATTTAGCTTACAAAGTGAATATTCCAACATGTGTACATTTCTCCCTAGTCCAGTTGATTATAGTATAAAATTATCTTCAACAGATAATGCCACATTTCCAAGAGCAATCAGTGCATATTGTAAAATTGAGGGAATTTTTTTCTCTTTAAAGGTGATAATTTGGATCAGACATTTCAGATATTGGAGTTGCCAATTTTATATGCTTTGCATATAATAAGACATTTTTCTTGCTGGACAAACATGTTGATCACCTCAACCCCAATTTCTAGTGATAGTAATAGTTGTAAAAGAGTTGAATGGACTTTAGTTTTAATTGATACTTGATAGTAGTGTCAGAATTCTGCTTTTTCATTCTGTTGATATTGATACTTAGGATATAGAAACCAGATTTCTTCAGACTTTTTCCACACTTTTGTTTATCATCTAAAATGCTAAATAAAGGTACATTTAAAAGTCACAAAAAGTACTCTGTTAACATGAAATTTTAAGGAACTCTAGAAGGTGTATTTTTGAAAAATATAAGGAGCTGTTTTGAATAATTACTTGTTAACATTAGTTCATTATCATTGTGATCTCAAATTCTAACATTTTAGATTTAACTAGGTAACCATAAGTTTACAAATATTATCTGAATGTTTAAATAAATTAAGAGTCCGTATTGTTAATAGTATAATAAAAGCATGTTTTTACTCTGGTTTCTCAGTAACTTCATATGTAAAATGACTGAGCTGATACCCTATATATCAGTGCATAGCTTATAAAAGCGCATACCAAAGTTATGAGGATTTCTCCTCCCTCAATTGTACAAGACTTTTAAAAGACTTTAATTCCTTGGTTATACATTATCTTGACAATATAGTATTTCATGCTGTCCATATTAAGTTTAATTTGTTGCATTTGGAGAGAGTCAGAAATGGCACCAAACTATAGGGCTCACTGATACACCAACGTTTTGTTTCCTAAACAGTTTTTTAGGCTTAAATCTTAATTCCAGAATTTGGTATAGAATTTTCATTTTATTGTGGAGATTGCCCAAGCTCATAGCTTCTGATGTCTCCTTATAGGGCATTTGACACTCTTGCAAAAGCATTGAATCCTGGAGAAAGCACAGCCTGTCAGAACTCAGTAGAGGGCATGGAAGGAAACGTACAGCTAATTGCTGGAGATTCGAACATAAATTACATCGAAAAAGAGGGGCCACTTCTCAGCGATTCACATGTAGCTTTCAGGGTATTTCTATATACTTTTTAAAACTTGTGTGTTATATGATCGTTTGATTTTGATCTTTGTTCCAAAAATCAAAGTATATTTGTTATGTTTTTAAAGTCAGAAATATCCCTGATAACAACTTCAAAACAGCAGCTAAAATGTAATTCTACTCACTATATAAAATAATGACTGGGCAAAACAGTCTATTTGTAAGTTCATTATGACAGTGATTAATGGGTTTTAAGTCTATTCAAGTTAGCCTTTAGAACTATTTAAATATAGTCCCAGATGTTTTTATTTAACTTTAAGTACTGGCGTTTATGATGTGTTAAATGGACTACTTTTGTAATTCAGTGTCTAGCTACTGCTACTTGAGTGTGAATCATTACCTAAGACCCAGATACTTGAATCCTAACGAAGTAACTGTAATTACTGTTTGCTATGGGTCACCTAAATAGCTAGTTGACAGTATTATTATAAGATAGAATAAGTTTTTTAATGCATTTTACTTTTGGGTTTTTAACTTTCTGTACTTTTTAAAGTAGATTGGAAGAGTTACATTTGTAGCTCTAATTTTTGTCCCCCTAAATACATGTAGAAGACTGGAAAATGACTTTCTAGTATTTGATGTGTCAATCAAGTAATGTCTGGACCAGAGCTTTATATATGCTGACTATTAAAACTCTGCTCTACTTCTTTGACCCCTCCATTTTAAGCACTCTATATCTTTGCCAGTTGTGGATACTATTAGCAAGATATGTGCAGAGTGACTGAATGTACATAGGAGTGTTCACTTAGCAATATGTAGTAGTTCTGGAGTGCTTGAGATGATTGCTCATAATTTTTACTATATACATTTCCATGAATTCCTTAGGGAAATAGGTACAGTTAACAAATAGAGTGTGTATAACTAACTAGTAGAAATAGTGAGACCCAAATGAACATCATAGTGGCCAGAACTGCTCATGATACTGTTTATAAGATTTGACGTGGGGGGCCAGCAGATGGTGTGGTTAAAGCACTGGACTCCCACCTTACTGACTGCAGTTTGAGTCCTGGACCCAGTGGCTTGAAAATCACTCTGGGCATGTGGGCATGCATGTGCCCAGAATCTCTAGAAGAAAATGGAGGAGAGGGAATTGCAGTGTGGCTATCCCCCGGGAAGGCAACTTCTTACTTTCTCTCAGTGTCTCTCTCCAGCAAGCATATGCCTTATGGCAAAAACTTTAAAAAAAACAATAATAGAGATTTGACTTGGTAGAAATAGCCACAGAGAAAACTCAGTGAATTAAATAAGAATTATTATCATTTGGCATAGTAAATAAAAATTATCAGTGAAACTAGTTTTCGTGAAAAAATTTTTAGGATAACTTACATGGAAGAAATTAGAAATGTTTTATCTGCACTATACAGGGAAACTTTTTATGTGTACTATAAGAAAAGATAATGGGAATATCAATGCCATTCCTAAAAATTATAGGACCTGTAGACAGAGGTAGAACAAGGCAAAACTGGCTTTCTCCACTGTTTATCTTAGTTTACATAAAAGACATTCATGCTTTTTTTAGTTTTGTTTTCTCCCTTTGAATTTAAATGGGAGGATGAATTGAGACAAACAGTTCATGCATGGAAGAAGCATAGGGTACTTTTTTAGAAGTAGAATCCATTCACCTTTTTTATTGCCGACGTTGGTCCTCAAATTTTTAGATTTTTGAAATGTTTGGACAGATGGATTAGCAAATTAAACTATTTTTTTTTTTTACTTTCTTGAGTCGTTTTTCTCCATTCCATCTTTGACCTCCTGTACTCTGGGCATCCTCAGAATCAGCACTACAAAGGTTCTTACTCTCCTGAAAAAAAGAGTTCTTTCCTTCTCTTACTCTTGGTTATAGTCTTAAAAATCACAGTTTTACTTCTCAGTGATTTTCCCGCCCACTTCTTAGCCCGTGGTAACTTCATGGTTAGTTTTTTCATTGAGGTTTGTGGTCATGAGTTTCAAAACTTGACATCCATAATCAAGTAACTCAGTCCTCTCATAATTGCTAGGCTAAATAGTGTTTTGTTCCTCTGTTGTATTTTCACATACAATGTGGTTTGAACCATATATTTTTCATTCGAGCCTCACCACATTCTAAGTTAGTAATTTTATTCTCATTTTGTAGATGAAGAAAGAGACTTAGAGATTTTCAGTGTCTTGTTCAAAGCAGTCTAGTTGGTAGAGAAATAGTCTAATAATGAAATATGAAATTTGGCTCTGAAAAACATAAGACAATAGTTACATTTCATGTTTTTTACTAAACTAGAGTTTTTGGTATGATTTTGCATACCTTATCTTACATGATTCTTACCAGTTCTTTATATGAATAATCAAGGTAGATAGTATTTGCATTTTAGAGACAAGTACATGAGGGAGAGAGGTGATTTTGCAGAGTGCCCTTCTTTTATGTTTAGTATGTCTGTATTAGAATTACAGTCCTTTTTTGTCACCCATGTTACAATTTGAGAGTTACAGTCATTCTTCCCTTGCCTCACTCCCCTCTGTTCCGTAACTGAAATTGAATCATTCTATTGAATTTATCCCTCCCTCTTCATTTCCATCATCACATTTCAGAACTTTAAAAAAATTTCTTACTTAAACTACTGTGGTAAATATCTTTCCTTCCAGTGTCTCTTCTCCATCTTGTCCTACACACTGATATCAGTGTAGTATTTGTTAAAAATCCATCTAAGTCACTCTGCTACTTAAAAGCCTTCAGTAGCTTTGCATTGCCCATGTGGTATTTAGTTAGTCTCCATAGCATGAGCTTGGCATTCTGATCCAACTGCCCATCATTTCTCACATTTGCCATTTCCTTTTCTGGCCCTTTTTATAACTCATTCGGTTCTCCTTTTAGTTTTCTACTGATACAATAGCACTTAGCAGCTCATAGTGAACTCTTAAGTATTAGGTCATTGGGAAAGTCATGACATGTTTTTCTGTTTTCTTATGCAAAAATGCATTGTGACTTTCCTAATGACCCAATAAATGATTACTGAGTGAATGTGTAAGCTAGGGTCATATAAGTAATGGGAAGCTAGAAGTAAAATTCAGATCTTCTAACTCAAGTCAGATTATTTTTTTAAAGTAATAGCATGCAGGCTACTATCAGAATTTAATAATTTAATACAGAAACTATGCTAGGAAGGTATTTGCAAAGGCAAGTCATTTCCAAAACAAGTTGGTCAAATTTAGTTCATATCAACACTCTAAAAAGTAAATGTAGTATCTTAAATTTTGGGGTCAGCAGGTGGTATGGTGGTTGGAGAACTGGACTCTCCCACATGGTGACCTTGGTTTGAGTCCTAGACCTGGCAGCTTGGTTTCTCACTTTCCCTGTCTCTCTCTCTACTCAAATTTTAATAATAATAAAAAATAAAATAATTATTAAAAAATAAAATTTTTTACTTCTGTAGTGTGTGTAATTCAGTTTATAAACCTAAAGATGCACAGGCATTTTGGAAAAGCTGTAACATCTTCGTAATTAGGAATTTAGCTTTCCTTTTATAGAGGAAAGACTCTCTTTTTTCAATCTAAAAGACTTACTGAGTGGAATATTGTTTCTTCAGCCAGTATTAGCTTTCTGATTCCTAAGACTAGAGATGTATGACTTATATCAAATAGATAAGTTACATCATCATCTCTCGGTTTATGAATAAAGTAGTAGCAAGTTTTCAAGGAGTTATTACTGTTATGCAAAGAAAAGCCATTATATTCCATTTTTACATATTACAAGTATTTTACTTGTTCAAAAGCAGTTTTAAACTATCTAGCAAAGAATATCCTGTTATTTTACATCTCACTGCTCCCCCCATTTTGGGTAGTAAAAACTACCAATTTTTGGTAATTTTCATAATTTTTTAGGGTTTTTCTCCTTACCTTGGACAATTCTGAATAGGTATGATAGTTCTCAGTTTTTAAAAACATGTGATTACTGAGATCTTTGCATCCTAATTTATCTGGGGTGTTTAATACTTGCTTGCCTACAATTCTTTTAAGAATTGTCTTAAGTAACTGTGTTGTAATTTAATTTAATTATTTCTCCATTTCTCCTTTCAGTATTTTAGGCACACATATGCACACACTCGGTTTGGTTTTTCTGTCTGCAAGGTTGAGGACTCAACTGCACAGTTAGCCATGTGAGATTCAGCTTCCCTAACCACCATACCATGGGTAGGCTCATTTCTCAAACATATTAAACATTGAAAATTATTTTTCCCATACATAAGCTTTTAGCTGTTAATTCCCTGTTGTTTTGTTACTTGATACCATTTATAAGTAGGTACACTATGGCTAATATTGAACAAAGGCATTTATGTATCTACATTGTTATCTAACATTTCTAGGTAACTTTTATATTATTTTCATGAATTTTTTTTTTATCTGTTTGGCATCATAGACATCTTTGAGAACCTGATGAAAATTGTATATTCATTCCCCAGAAAAATTCATGTGGACACATCTGCCTACCCTACCCCCAAGTAGCCACTATTAACCGTGTGTTTCCTTTTGCCCTTTTATGTGCCTATACACATGAGTGCAAACTTTTTGACATAAATTAGATAATATAGTTGTAGGTCTTTTCACTTAGATGACTGAATTTTTTAAATGCCATTACTTATCACTTTATCTTATTCATTTTAATGTCTACAAGATATTCCATAGTATGGACTGTTTTCTTCCTGAGTGATGGAAGTGTAGGTCGTTGCCAGCGTTTAGTTTTACCATTAAGCAGAGCAACAATGGACGTCCTTACATGTGCTTTTCTGTTGTGTGTATATTTTTCTTGAATATAGTTATAACTGGAATTCTGGGGACTCAGGACATACATACTTTCAAAATTTCAGTAGATAATAGCCAAATTGCCCTCCTGTTTACCTGTCCTCAGCAGTCTATGAGCGCTGTTTCCCTAGATTCTTAACTATGCTTGATACTATTGATCACTTCAGTAATTTTAATGCTGAAACAAATGTTTTCTGGGGGTGAAATTACATTTTGTTTATTGGTGATAGTTTTTCTTTCTTTTTTTTTTTTTTTTAAAGAGGTTCTTGCCTTAGTATGCATGCTTTTGCCATGGAGAGAGACAGACAGATAGACACCGTGAGAGAGAAAGTGAGAAATCACCTGCCAGAGGAAATGCCCATGCCACAATCCCTTCTCCTTCTAAGACGTTGGGCACACCCACACACACACCCAGCGTGATTTCCAAGGCACTGAATCCAGGACTCAATCTGGACTCAATCTACAGTTTCCTATGTTGGAGTCCAGTCACGTAACTGCTACGTCGTCTGCTGGTCCCTCTTTAACAGTATTTTTAAAACTACTTTCAGAAGTAAGTTATTTATTTTCAACAGTGGTCAAGCATTTTAAATAACCACCTGAGTCCATCAATATAGACTGACAGCCTGCAAGTGCTAGGTCCACAGACACATACATACATACATACGTATATATAAATATATATATATGTATATATTTTTTAAGAACTATTTTAACTTTATTTATTATTATTTTGAATTTGACCAGAGAGAGAGAGAGAGAGAGAAAGCGAGAAAGTAAGCCACCGTTCTGGGACTCAGACTGACGTAGGCCATCTGGGAGTCCAGTGCCTCTGACCACCACTCCCCCTGCCAATCCCATACAGATATATTTTGTTTTACCTGCAGTTTTTTTTTTTTTTTTTTTTTTCCTTTTTCTTATTGTCATTCGGTACATGCACTCACCAGAGATACAGAAAGAGAGAGCACCTAGTGGGGTCACACCACAGTCCTTTTTCTTCTGTTTCTTCATTCCACCAGGATTTTGGAGCAAACGTGTTTTTTAAGCCAGTGGGGCTGGGATTCAAACCATGGTTGCCCACATAGGATCAGCTCCCTTAACCATTACACCTCAGACTGACCCCTGTAGAATATTTTTAAAAGTACTTTTTTTTTTTCAGTACCAATCTTTTTATGTTTTCTCTTTTTTTAAAGAATTATTTTATTTATTTCTTATTTAATTTGATCAGAGAGACACACAGAGAGAAAAAGAGAGAGGGAAAGTGAGAAAGCAAGCCACCAGGACTAGGACTCAAACTGCATTTGGCCATGTGGGAGTGTCCAGTTTCCTAACCACCACACTACCTGCTGGTCCCGAGTACCAGTCTTTTTAAATAGAGAAGTTTACACAGAACCTGCTCCTTGAAAGAACTTGCAGTACTGAGCCCAGATGCCATATGTTTTCATGGTGCTGAATTCAACTCACAGCTGTGCCCTTTATCTGGGAATATGTTCCTTCCACTTGGCACCTGCAGGCCTGCTGCACTTCCTACTCCTGGTCCTGTAATCCTTTTAATTTTTTTAACCTCACACCTAAGTAAAAGAAACATTTAGCACACGGAATTAGTCCTTAAACTGAATTTTTTGTATACAGGGAAAAGAGAGACACAGAAGGAAAGAAGGACAAAATGTGTTGCTAGATGAGAAGTACCTTTTATAGACACAACCAGATTATACCATGGTTGATATTTATTAAGATTCCGTTTGTCTGACTATTGCTTTGTTAGAAACTATAGTCCATTCATTTATTCTGTGCCCTATTGCTTACTATAAAATTCAGTGACTTGGATTACTTCAAGATTAGTCTTTTTTAATGAATAATTAGACTCGTATTTGATGTGGTATGTTTACATTCATCTTTTCAAAGAAATGATAACTTAGAAATATGAGTCATAAGATAATCTGCCTAAATCCCTGTTCATACTAGCTCACCATGCCTTCTCCTATGCCTGAGTACCTGAATGTGCACTACATTGGGGAGTCTGCCTCCAGACTGCTGTTCTTATCAATGCACTGGGCACTTTCGATTCCTTCTTTCCAGGCTCTAGGGTGAGTGTTTTGAAGTCCTTACATGTAAGTGTGATATTGTAGCACAAATGCACATTAAGCAAGAACTTTTACTATAGGAGGATTTAAGTTAAAGGAAGAAAATGGTATAACATTATAACTTTTAAGTTGTGTCATTTATATGACAAGTTATGGCAGCTAACTATCAATAGTATACTTCTATTTATGTGGAAGACTATCCATCTATGTTTTATAGTTTGACCAAGTTAAAATTAGGGTGGAATATAAGTGCAGTTGATAGATCATGGCTAGCATTATAGTTGGCTATCTTTGAAGCTCAAAGATGGAGGCTATGGAAAGTTCTAGGTGGTGGCTTCCCTGTTACCTACACTGTTCTAGGGTTCATCCCAGACATGTCACTAAGGAGCTAAAATTTACTTACAGTGAAAAATAGAGAATTGTTTTCTCATCATGTAGCTTTAAGGGGGGAAAAAAAGGAAAGGAAAAAAAATAATAAACCCCAGAAGTCCTACTACAATGACAGAGGTTTGTTCTTACCACCGATAAGTACATCTATATTCTGTTCTGAAGTAATCAGATGCAATGGAACGCGGTCTACTAGAAGACCACTGTAATAAACCAAACTTTAGCCAGAGTTTTCCAGATGTTTTTATATTGACTAAAAGTAACTGGTATGTGTGACCAGCAGATGGCAAAATGGCTATGTCACTGGACTTCCACATAATAGACCGCAGTTGAGTTCCGCACTCAGTGGCTTAAACTCATGCCAGGCTCAGGTGTGTGTGTGCCCAAGATCTCAAGAGGAGAGTGAAGAAGAAGGGATTGGGGCATGGCCATCCCCCCTGGGGAGAAATTTCTTACTTTCTGTCTCTCTCTCTCTTTCTCTCTTTCTGGCGAGCGCACACACCTTATAGCAAAAACCTCTCCAAAAAAAAAAAAAAAAGTAACTGGTATGAAAAGGCAACACACTATAAAAAGTTAAGCCCACAGTCAGAAAGTTTTTATCCTATTCAGAGGCCCCTACTCACTAGTTAACAATTCACATCGTGGAAATAATAACTGCCCATTCCTTATCCTTAGAGAGTATTATTTTTAAGAATTACTGGGGCCAGCAGGTGGTGTGGTGGTTAAAGGCGCTGGATTCTCACTTGGCCAACCATGGTTCAAGTCCTGGACCTGGTGGCTTGCTTTCCCACTTTCCCTCTCTCTGTCTCTGATCAAACTGGAAAATAATAATAAAGTTTGGGGCTAGCCAGGTGGCATGATGGTTAAGGTGTTGGACTCCCACATGGCCGACAGTGGTTCAAATCCCAGACCTGGTGGCTTGCTTTCTCACTTTCCCTCTTTCTCTTTCTCGCTGGTGAGCGTCTGAGCCCTATAGGAAATTAAAAGAAATAGTAATAAAGTTTTTAAAATTCTTCTAAAAAATAAGAACAGTTTACCTTTTTATGTTATTGTTGTTATTATTATTTTTTTAAATTTCACTAGAGAGAGAGAGAGTGAAAGTGAGAAACAAGCCACCAGATGCAGGTCTCAAACTGTGTCAGCCATGTGCGAGTCCTACCTTAACCACCACACCACTTGCTGGCCCACTTAGAGAATATTTATATTCAGAATATAACTAAAAAATATCTGAATTCTGAATGTTAAAGAAATATAGTTAACTGAATAAAGTCATATTTAATAGTATAATTTGGTTTATTATTCAGTTTTAGATAACACCATGCATTCAGTCACATATTTACATAACAGTTACTTATACTAAAAGCCTGATTTAGGGGACCAGCAGATGGTGTAGTATTTACATCATTGGACTCCCACATAGCTGACTGTGGTTCTAGTCCCGGACCTAGTCACTTAAAAATTACACCAAGTATGTGTGCATGCATGCCCAAAATCCTGGAAGGAGAATGGAGGAGAAGGGATTGCATGTCCACGCCTCTCGGGGGGGATTTCTCACTTTCTCACTATGTGTCTCTTTCTCAGGTGAGTACATGTGCCCTAAGGCAAAAACCTCTTCAAAAAAAAAAAAAGTCTGATTTGGATTAACTTTTTTTTATTTTTAAGAGGGATTTTTGCTATAGGGCTTGTGCACTTGCCAGAGAGACAGAAAGCGAGAAATCACTCCTGGGGGGAGGGCCACACAGCAGTCCTTTCTCTGTTCTCTTCTTGGGATTTTGGGCAGGCAAGCACGCATGAGCTCCTGGCATGAATTTTAAGCCACTGGGTCTGGGACTTGAACTACCATCAACTACATGGGAGTCCAGTGATGTAACCATTACAACATCTGCTGGTCCCAGATTGATTAACTTTTAAACAATTGTTAGTACTTTCTCTAAAATGATATTTAAGTTTTAGAAGTTTTCCAGTTCTTTTTTTTTTAGAAAAAAATTAAAATACAATGTAAATTTTTATATTAGCAATTTGTTAATTTTTTAAGAGGTTTTTGCTATAGGGCATGTGCGCTCGCCAGACAGACAGAGAGAGACAGAGAGATAGAAAGCGAGAAATCGCCCCCCAGGGGGGATGGCCACGCTGCAATCCCTTCTCCTCCATTCTCCTCTCGGGATCTTGGGCACG